CTTCCTTCCTTCCTTCCTTCCTTCCTTCCTTCCTTCCTTCCTTCCTTTCTTTCCTTCTTCTTTTTTTTTTTAAATCACAGCAATAGAAACCTAACTAGAACATAGGGTAACTCCATTTAAACCTTTTTTTCCCCCTCTATAGCTTTGGAACCTGTCCTGGAACTAGCTCTTGTAGACCAGGCTGGCCTCAAACTCACAGAGATCTGCCTGATTCTGCATCCTGAGTGCTGGGATTAAAGGCATGCGCCACCACCGCCCAACTCCATTTAAACTTTTAATAGATGTATATTGATATATTTTATGGCGTTCCTATAGTAGTAGACGGCTTTTTCAAATCTGGCTCTGCCTCTTAATTATTATTAGTTTTTCTTTTACAATGTGCTGTGAGTTGCTGTCCTCTGTGCCAAGCAACTGCCATCTTGGCGTATTCAGCTGTGTTCCCTTGCGAAAATTCATCTCAGCTGAGCTGTTGGTGGTTTATACCTTAGCACAGCAAGGAGATCCTTGCCTGACTGAGTATCCAGCTACTCTCAACTACTTCCTCCCACGGGCAATGCTGCATGTGGCTTGGGGGAGGGGCTAGAGTATATCCAGCCTATCAGTTAGCAAAGACTAGATGGGCCTAAGGGAAGCCTGGCATCACTACTGGGTAAGGCTTGTCAGGTACAGCTAGCCGGGGAAGGAGAGCACATAACCATGGAAGTAATCTCTTACTTCCACACTCTGTAAGGATGCCATAAACACAGGGGCTCTCTGGAGTGAACTTTGGGGGAGATCATGTTTCAGGTTGGTCATTAAGACTTTGGGAGGAGGAGTAGACATTGCTTTGGAGCAACAGTATGGAGCCACAAAAAATCCAGAATAACCAAAGAAATCTACAAGAAAACTAACAAGGCAAGAAGCATGGTACTACTCCTTTGCAAAGACAACATGAATTGCAGCGACCCATGAGGCATTGTCACGGCACTCCATAGGACCAGACCAGGGGAATGAAACAGAGAGCCCGGAAACGAACCCAAACATTTACAGACAGCTGTTCTGACAAAGGCGCTAAGAACACACAATAGCGAAAGAAGAATTACTTCTGTAAATGCCGCTGGGAAAACTGTACAACTATACAGAATGAAAACAGACCCTTGTCTCTCACCAGACACAAACATCCGCCCAAAGTACATGAAATGCTTAAATGTAGGCTCTCAAACTGCAAAACTTCTAGAAGAAAGCATGGAAGCATGCATGAAATTCCATTATATTGGTCTGGACTATGATGGTTCTGGATATGACCTAGCATATACTGCCTCATTTTTTGGTATGAAGAAATAAAAGCAAAAATAGAGAATGGGATTATATCGGAATTTTAAAAAGCCTATACATAGCAAAGGAAATAACAGAGTGCAAAGAGAACCAACAAGATAAGAGAAGATACTTGCAAACTCTACATTTACTACAAGCCAAATGTAAAAAAAACCATACGAGGCCAGCTATGTTGGTCAACCATTTAACCTCAGCACTCAAAGAGGCAGAGACAGGCAGATCTTTTTGAGTTTGAAGTCAGCCTGGTTTACATAAGGAGTTCCACGTTAGCCAGGGCTACATAGTGAGACTGTCTCAAAAAAATTATAAGAAACTCAATAGGAAGAAAAATTTCAATTAAAAAAAGAGCAAAACTTGAAACAGACACTTTTCAAAAAGAAGACATACAAATAGCCCATGGATTTATGAAAAGTGTCCAGCATCACTCATAATCAGGGAACTGTGATTCGAATCCACACCAGGGAACTACCTTAGAATGGCTGTTATCAGAAAGGTAAAACTTAGTATGCGTTGGTGAGACTGTGGAGAAGAAGAGCCATTGAAAGTTCCTTAAAAAATGAAAAATGCAACCTCACTGCCAGGATACAAATATACTGTCCAAAGACATGCAGAAGAGATACAAAGAATGACAAGTTAATTACCGAGTAAGAGCATAAGCAAGTCAACCAAGGAAGTGCCATACAAGGGTATGTAAATAGCTGTGAGCTGAAAACCCAGACAAATACACGAGAAGAGACTGGTGGCCTGCAGGTCCCTTGAACACACTCAACAGGATACCAGGACACAGTTCGGTCCCTATTTGTTTATGCTGTGGCTCAAGGTTATAGTCACACAATGTGCACATTTACAACTGCCACTGCAGAGGAACCCCAGGTAATGGTAATAGGTCCAAATGTACACATAGATTAGCCTTCACGTCTCCAAAGATGCTTCCACAACCTGCCTATTTTGAGGGACCACTTAAATCCGCTCATTGTATCAGATGGCCAATGTCCAAGGTAGCAACGGGAAGCTGTACATCTATAAGGCTGTGATTACATCTGCATTGCTATTTATTTACTCTTTGTTCTTAAGGAGTAAGTCTCTGATAATGGGAAAAAGTAAGAAGGGAGGGAGGCAGAAAATCCTTTCTAACACCAATGACCCATAAAATTGCATTTAAAAATCCAAGGATCATAAAGTGGAATGAAGTGGTTGGAAAT